ATCCCTAACTACGCGAATCGACGGGCTTATGCCTCCGATACAGCTCAAGTTCAAGTCCCGTCCAGCGACGTCCCCTCAGGGTCTCCGCTACTCTTCGAAGGGGCGAGCTGAAGCCAATGAAGGCGAACGTTTGGATGTATCTGTTTCTCATCAGCCCACGTTTGATCTCCGGAACACCCAAAGTGCGAAACTAGTTCAAAATCGTTACTCCAGCAATGGATCGTCAAACCATAACTTGCGGACCTTCCTGCGACCTACATCTCAGACCGAAGTAACCCATCCTTAGTGAGTTGACTCTGATCATGAATTCCTAGGCCAAAAATTCACTGCCGCAGCTGGGGGAGGCTGAAGTCGGTTAAGTAGACTCGAAGTAGCAGAGGTTACGCCGAAATCACATATGATATTGAGCTACGAGGTTTTATGTGTGTTACTATAGCTCATTTGCTATGCAATTGACGCGTTAATTCAACTGCCTCTACGATAATTCAGCAAGTAAGGGAAGTCGAACACCGACAAGTGTCCGCCTCCTCAACCCGAGCACTCACGTCGTTGCTTACATCGATCCGTGTGTGTTGATTCAAACTCCACAGACATAATTCCAACAGTATTGAAAATACACAAAGAAGGCAGACCGAACATATGAGTTTTCTGTTTTCTATAGATGAATCGCTGTCCCACGATGTTGGGAGTAGCGAAACTAACGATTATGTTATCCTTTCATTCTGAGTATGACGGCCTGTGCGGGTATTGACTTAGTCGGTCTAACCATGCCCGTCGTTGAGCAAAGATGGTTTGCTCACCGTTCGGAGAGATTTAAGAGCAGTGAGCGGGCCCGTAGTTCTTTCCAACGGTAGGAGGACCGGCGACACACTTGCTACCAGACTTGCATTCGCGAGCGTCCTTGACGCAGTACACACCGGGTTTCTCTGAAAAGAGACGTGATGTCAGGTCAATGAGGTATCCTTGAATACTTGAGGTAATTTGAGGCTTACTCTTGCATTTGCCGCTTTCGCAAACGAATCCAGCAGAGCCGCAAAGGCCAACTAGAAGGCAGAAGGTCATCATTAAGCGATCGAAACAACTGACAAGAGGGTGAACGAAACTCACGAGCCTCATCGCCGCAATATCCAACATCTTTGCAATCCTGGTTTGCTTTCGCATTGCCGCTGCCTAGACTTCAAGTCAGCATCGAGGACGGCAGGAACTTCAGAAGACTGGCGGCTAACACTCACATTGAGCACTGGCAAGAGCACCGGTCGCGGTGACGGCGAGAATGGCAAAGATAGCGGAGAGCTTCATAGTGAGTAGTTGAGTAGGATTTTATGTGTGGCTTTGTTCGAGGATAGGAATGAGGAATAAAAAGCAGGGCAAAGGGTGGCTTTTATACCTTGTCCTCTGTCTGTGACTGCTGCCAACGGTCCAGCCTCAACCCATTACCCGCCATACACTATGCCCTAAGTCCTTCCAGAGGGGATTTGAAGTCGCCGCTTTCATTTGTTTCACTATACCGTATCGCCCGAGACAACCAGTACCAACTAGCGTATATTGTGGTCGAAATGTTATATTTTTAGCTCCACTAACATGGGACTGACGTTCATTTTGACCATATAACTCGTATTCTTTCCTGTTTGCCCACGCTGGAACAACTTGAGTAAACGAAACTCCCGGGTTGAGCTGGTTGTATTTTTGACCTAAGAATTCAATCCCAAAAATAAACTCGGCTGGATAATAGCAGGAATCTTGCTAGGAACACATGCGAATGATTTATGAGTATATGTAGGCGCTCATGAACGCGATATTCTGGTATTTTTCATTCTACCTCGACACGTCAGGGAATGGCTAGAGTACTATACCCAGCGATGGTTTGGTCGGAAGGTCCTCTAGTTTTGGGTCTGCATGTGTGTAACATCATGTCTTCGGTTTGATGCGAATCGAACGGGTAGGAAGTAAGCTTTTCTGAAGGCTGGACTGACGAGTAAGTATGCTGACATTCGTAAGCGATGTCTAAGTATATGCAAGTGCAAGTCTCCTAACAATAGGTCCATGCACCAACAGGGGATTCCAAAAACAGAAAATCCGCAGGCCTAAGCGGGTAACAACTTTTAACACGAACTACATTACTTGCCAAAAATCAAGAGCATATTAGGGGCGAAGTTATATTAGGAAAAAGAACAAGAAATATCAAGATTTTTCTCCGACTCAGACGTGGGAGATGCAACTCTCGGGGGAGTCAGTCCTGCTCCTAGGAGAGATCAAGACCTCTCCTTGTGCCCGCCGTCTTTATTCCTTCTCAACGATGAGTGGATACTTCAACTTCCGTCTATGCTGACCCCGACGAGACTCCTTCGGGTACTCGCACTCTACGCCCTTCTTCAAGCATTGCCTGCGCAATGATTCGTTATTTCCACGCAGACATCTCGAACGACGGTGGGTACTCACGCGCAACTCGAATCACCATTCTCAGACGGCGTACAAGCCATCTTTCGTCTCCTACAGAAATAACACGCGAGAAGGACTTTCTTCCGATAGAGTGGGTTATGTCGGTTGTTCGATAGGGCCTCCTGTTGCTGAGCAGCTTGGCTCGGACTCGTCATCGTTCGGCCTGGCTCGAATCGAAGGACACCCGTGGTCGTAGTAGACTGATGGTTTGGAGATACCACCGGCCCAGGGAGGTTCCCCGATTGAGATTGGTCGGAGAACCATTGTGAGAGTCGTTCGTGATCTTGAGGGAGATCGATAGGTGTGAGCGCGCAGATGGGGGTGTTTGGGTTCGAGGAAGAGGTGTGAGAGTGGCAGCTCTCGAGAGATGGTGTTCGGGGTGAGTACAAAGGGATGCTCTCGGCTGAATTCGTCGCAGTTTGAGCAGAAATATGGGGCGATAAATATTGGTGGGCTGGGATATTTGAGAGGTATGGTCCATTGAAGGAAGGGGAGTACGTTGATGCAGGTTGGGATGGACATCCAGACTGGGGTGTCCACCATCGAGGACCAGCTAAATGACAATCAAGCGACATCAATGTCTCGCAGACTCAGAGAAGAACAGACCAAACGAACAACTATAGTGCTCAGAAGCGACCATCATCATAATTTCCTGGCGGGGGTCGTGATAATAAAATGGGCCTGTATTGACAGTATTGACAGGGCAGGGAAAACGTATCTCCGAGTCAAGTGACTGACCCTGAGGCAAATTATTGCCAATTGTCGTCGAGTACTCCTTGGAACCGCCCTAAAAACGAGATTATAGTAAGAATGCAGTGCTTGTTCGGTGGAACAGCGCTGTAAACGCACCTGAGCAGTGTTTTGCTCACGTGTATCCCAATAGGACATTGAACCCAGGTCATAAGCAATACTCCCAGTCGTATCCGAAGGAGAGGGCGCAGGGGAAGACGGCAAGAAACCAAAATCGTTCACAGTTGGTGCTGGCGGCGGTATATAAGAGGGGAATTCGGTAAGCATATTAGTTGCCGGTGGATTCCCGTGAAGCCCAAGCTTTTCATAATCTGAGCCAACGAAATGTGACGGAGAAGGACTGTCCCATGACTGATTTATCAGATAGGATTTGACGTGGAAGTCTTCTCGGGTGATCTGGATGGGGTCGAGACAGATGTTAAGGTTTTGTGACTTCGATTAAGGTAGGTCAAAAGCGCACCTCACGCGAATTCCTGTTGTTCGTGTTTGTCTCTGAGTAGATTTGTGGTGTTCGACGGAGGGCATTGCGACCTGAAGATGTTGAAAAATGGGATTTATCGGTACGTTAAGGCTACGAACTCACCTCTCGAATCCAGATTCGAAGAATTCCTGCTCGACGTCGTTGCGCCACACTTGACATGAAAGTCTTCGATGGCGTAAACGGGGTTATTTTGGATGCCGGGGTCAAAGTAACCTTGTGTCAACAACTGATGAGGCTGGTATGCAGCCTCAATGTCGTCGAGAGCCGGACTGGATGGACAAAAACGGGGAATGTTGTATGTGCTTGGACATACGGGTAAGGAGGGGACTGCATATCTGGGGAGCGAACCGGGTTCTTCGATGTTTGACCATGACATGGAGGGTATCATTGCGAGTCTGGTGAGCTGGAGACGATCGGTCGTGAGGGGATCCACGGGTTTGAGTTAGAACGCGAGAAGGGGTAATCGAGGAGAAGGTAAGATGCAAAGAGGCGCCTGGTGATTGCTGACATTCACAATTAAAGACCCGAGAATTGAATTGACCGCCATCAATGGGATCGACTCCTCCCATTGTATTCACGTGGTCAATGTAAAAGCCAAGAAGGATCTACAGCATTTGATTGCAATCGTTGCACTGGTTTCTCCCAAACCGGAGAACTGTTGAGCTTTCTGTTGAATCTCTAGGGAGCTTTGTCGGGCGAACTTACCTTTAATTTTAACCCTTGGTGAAGGCCAAAGAGTCGAAGCGGCCCTGCCTGAGAGAGCAAATCAGACACATGAATCTCCCGCAGTGGAAGGATTCCGAACAGTCGGGAAACGAGTCACTCCATTTTGAAGCTGTAAAGCCGTAATGTAACTTCCAGTTTTGGGTCTAAGATTCTGCAAACACCCCGTGGGTGTGGGTCAAAGCACATTGATACCTTCAATACTCAAATTTGCTTGCCACTTGCCCACTGGCGGAGTGGGGAGAAATGTGCTCAAGCCATCAAACTGGTAGATATAGACCAACTATCATTCAACATGCATCGCCTAGATAGAACGAGCGAGGGTCCGAGACATCAATCGAAACCGTCGTTCACAGGATTGCAACTCACAGTGGCCCACACAACGTACTCGAGACACGGACTCGGATTGTCGGATTCAGCCTATTGTATCACGATTATCAATGAATGTGACTTACCGTTGATCGCACCGTTCGTAGAGCCGTCGTGACATCCCAACCTCTACCCAGGCGTTGATACGACATCGCACTGGATTGTTTATGTAGTAACCCAAGTTCTCAAGAGAAATATAGAGAGAATCATAAAGAGGCGTTCCTCAACAATTGTTATGTGCCCCATGGCTGAGTTGGTTACAGCGTCCGACTGTTATTTCAGAAACCATCGGAAGGTCGTGAGTTCGAGCCTCACTGGGGCAGTAGCTAAGTTACAATTGAAGTTTTTGTGTGACCCACCGAGACTGAACTAGAGAAAGTCGCTATATTCGGGTGAACATCCAGCAACGACGCCTGACCGTGTCTCAAACGCTAGAGACCAAAGCTGATTTACCATTAGGACCATGTCGTTGTATAATGGCTAGTTTTAGCACTAACCGACGAGAGTAAAGGTGCGGTTTGGATTGCAGGAAAATCGACAAATGAGAAGATGAAGATCCGCAACACAGTCGAAAGCGTTGATTCTAGTTGTGTCATGGGCTGCACTCCTGGTGTGTTCACAAAAACCGCCTCGTTTAAGGGCGAGATGAAGCTCGGAAGACATGGCGCATACTGTTTTGCTTCGAGTAGAGGGGATTTGAAACTGTACGAAGAGTTGTTCATTGTTTTGGATCCTAGAGTCCCTTCGCACGCCGATGTAGCCCAGCGCTGAATATACATAAGATCATCAGAGAACCGTGGTAAATCCCCTGAGAACATACCTTTGGTAGCCTCTATCCTGTGCCACGAAGATATGCTCCGTGATTATTCCAAAGCCATTCTCCCACAGACCTGCTGCCAGCGCCGCGTCCTCTGATATCCTTGCGAAGTCAGCGAGGGCGAGTTCGAGTCGAGATTCTACGCTCAGAAAACATAATTTGATCATCCTGAATTGTATGGTATGACTGAAGGAGTGGCACCTTGATTCGTTGCCAAGTGTTGGTCAAACGAAACGCGATGTGGTAGGCGACATGGTGGTGGTGGTGGTGCGGAAGGAGGTTTGAGCGGAGTTTCAAGAACGCGCACGTGCTGAATTTCTGGACACGATGACGCCGGACAAGAATTCATGGTCTATCTTGTGCCTTCATCTTCTGGCTTGATGGCTACGATTGCTGACTATAGCTTGGAGACGGCACTGGCTTTCAACGCTGAAACCGCATAGGTTTCGGACAGCTAGTCCGGTAATAGATGTCGGTGGCAGCTGGTTCGGATCAAGGCTCGTATAACACTCAAGCTCACCTACTGACTCGAGGTTTCGACATTCAACGGCCTTGGTACATTGTACTACTGAGTCAAGCTCATCAAGCAACTTCGGAGATATAGAGACAAGCTGCCGTCTTCACCATCGCTTTGGGAATTTACAAGACTTGTTGACGGACGGAGCAACTAATTGGCTTTGGGTGGGCACCCTTATTGCGGATGTTCCCCTTGACTTCCCGCTCTCTGTCCCACGTCTATAAACGTATTGACACATTGAATTGACAATGTCCCTAACCAAGACCCTTAGAGCATCTCCGAGTTCCCAAACCTTCTTGCCCTTCTTGCCATCTTCATCTTGTTCCCTTCTTCAACGGTTTTGCGGTCGATGAGTGCTGACTGGCTTGATTGATTGACTCGACAAATGACACACCGTTCCTATTTCGGACAGGTTGTCTCATCAGACCGGGACTCAAGACTTCTGGGTCACTAATGGGGGTGTTGCTCATTGTGTATGGCCTGGAGCGAGAGGATTTGGGATCGTGCAGAACGTGTTGCAAGGGTTGTCGTCAAGCAAACGGGTATATGCGAGGCTATATTGGCCCGAGCAATGGCCCCGAGCTCGTACACTGACGCTGGGAAGCCTGAAGAGACTATCTCGGCACCGGTTGGCTTTTATCTTATTCGCCGAGTAAAGTGAGTAAATACGTATCAGGTGCGTGACTTCAGCATCCCAAGGTCAGGAACTGTCGCTCGTATATATCGGTCTATCGGAATTGGGCCACCGCGGGACGGTAGAACCGAAAAACCACAACGCGAGGAGACACAATCAGTGGAATTTCAAAATAGGTTGGGTCCCAGTGCCAGGTTAAGGAAGCTCACTGACATATCTATAATGTTGAATGCAGTTTTTGGCTAGTACCATCGAGCAGGCCCTCCAAAAACTTGCCGTAACCGCGAGGTCTACACGGTCAGGCTGGACGAGTATGCGCAAAACGAGGATGCGAGTTCATCAAAACGCTGGTCTTTTACAGCTCACAAAGAACTTCGTCCTCTGATCACCGACTGGGTGGTGCCGACATGAGGCGTGCGAAAATTCAAAAAATTTGCCAGGGTACCGCCATGGGACTAGTACGGTTGCCTCCACTTCCATCATCTGAAACGAAAAGGAGGGCATAAACTGTGAGTCCGACATATCCCTTTCGTGTATTTCTATACATTTGAACAAGGTTTGATGAGTGGCACCTTGAGAAGGAGGTGCGGGGTCCGCGAGGCTGGTTACTCCGACCTGTCCGGCCCCTTGCGAGATGTCTCTCACAGGCTGTCTCAAGACCTCCTGTTGCTCCGCATCCTATAACTAGGAGTGCATGATGCAGGGGCCTCTCGCGTTCATCGACATATTTCCACCCCTCATGATGTCCTCACTGGAATCGCTCGCAAGCCATTCTTCGGGCTATTACCGGTCGTTTATCATAATGACGAGTTTCTTCCATTTATTGGGATGGTGTGTACCAAATTTTTTGCGATATGTGATGGTGAAACTGACTTCAAAGCTCGTAGTTCAGTCTTGAGCTTCTGTATCGCAAACCGCACGCCACGTAGATGGTCAGAGTGGCGGACTTTGAGCTGGGGGAAGGCGTGCATGATTCTACTTTTGTGTGACTCGTGAGTTCTTCAAATTCCCTTCTGGTCAGCGATGTTTATTATTCCTTATCAGATGGATATTCATCTTCATCTGTGAGCTTCGACTCCACTAGGAATTAATCAGTTCACCGACCCAATACTCTTCAATGGCGGTAGCTGGACTCATGACAACTGGTGTATCGACATTCCGTGACCCCGTTGCGTGTTCATTCATGATCATCGTTTGCGTGGTATTCCAAGGAAGCACTAAAGTTTGTTTTCCGGTCTTTTCCCATAAACACCGACTGATGTGAAATATAGGTCCTAATATACGCCTACCTCGTTGAGAAGGTTCGCAAGCGTACTCACATATCGAGCGGTCTGCCGCTCACTGAGAAGCTCCTCAGGTCTATATTGTCTGGTCAGACGGGTATCGCACCCCGCGACTACAAACCAGGATATACAAAATTTGCCTACTTTTCCAACTAGGATATGTGGCTATCGATATTATGTTCCTTTCTGGGAGATCGAGCCGAATCGCAGAAGATGGAACATGCCTTTTGGGGTATAAAAACTACGCGTGGGTCGGAAGATTTTTAGGATCTCTCATATAAATTGACTTTGGGCTCTTCCTTACAGGTCAATATCCCTCATTGTGTACGATTTCCTGCAAAATGTATTTTTTACGGTCATGTTCTACTGGCCCTTGTACAAGTCAAAGATTTTTAGTCCTGCCCTGAGGGCGGTGGCAAAGAGGACATTGATGTGAGTTCTCCCCGTAGCTCACGATTGGTGCACGGGTCAATCTTACCTTCCATGCAATAGCGGAGCCATCGCAGGCTTGCTGATATTGGCCGTAATGATGAATCCCAGGCTCGCAGGCGTCAACTTGAAGCTGATCGCCTCCTTAGGTCAATGTCTCGATGGTAATCGCTATGGGTGGATATCAAACCGTTTGGGTGTGTATGACGAGTTGTGCGTTGGATGTAAGTCTTCCATCCCGTTCTCCGTTTAGCCACCGACCCCTTTCCGCAGGTAATCCTAAATGCACTGATCATGTACTGGGTCTCCTCCGGAATCTCATCCGACTCCATCAACCACTTCACTTTACCCACGATCAACATGGTGACACGGAACGATTTGACCGTGACTACCTCCAAAACCAACAATACTGTCAGCTCTGGAGACACCATCAACACTCTGACAACAATCGCGAGCCTGAGGACGGCTGAATACACCGGCCATATATCGACGCGGAGGTCTGCGGACTTGGCGGTGGCATCAGAGGTCAGTAACGTGCTGCGCTAAGAGTGCTATAGATTTTAACGGCAGCCAAAGTCATCAAAGGTCAACACGGAAGAAGTGTCAGTGGAATCGGTGTAACGGAGGCAAGTTTTTGCCCGCTACTCCTTTACTCCCTTAGCTCTGGTCCCTGTGTCGTTCTTTGATTCTGAAGATCATGTCGAGGCAAAAGACCGATATTCATATCGGCTCTTACTTATCTGTCCCGAATCCCATTGTAATCTTATCTTACCATACACCAATAGTTTTGCTTAGAATACCCGGGTTGATACTGGGACTTGTTTGAGCACAGATGGTCGCTATCATTACGACATATATATAAAGGATCAAAAGTTGGGGATGGCAGAACCATAGTGTTGAGAAACATCGCTGATAAATCAAGAAAATTCAAAGCCAAAAAGTCCAAACCAATTAAGTCCACAAAGTCCAAAATCACGTCCCGTCGTCATGAGCGAGTCTAATTCAGGCGGTAATTGGTGTCCGAATAGCCTTGACGAGGCTGTTTGCTCTCCAACAGCGGCTTGTAAGCTCCCATCGGCGGAACAAACGGTGCTTCAGACGGAATCGTGCTCTGTCGTTTCCTCTTCGAAAGGAAAAACCCTGCAACGGCGCCCACAACGACAAGCAAGGCTCCAATACTCAGAGTGGCAATGAACCAGCGCTCCTTGTACACCGGCGTGTCCACGTTCTTGTCTTCGCTGGCAGAGGCGGCAGTGATGCGGAGTTCCTTCCGAACACTCTCGTTGAACTTGAATGTCATAGCTGGGCTAAGCCACATATCCCAGTCGTTCAAGTCGTCACGGTTCCCAGTCACTCGGAGAGCCCGAGCGAGAACCTTATAAGTGCCATCTGGTACCAGCGTGCCGTTGCTGAATGTGACATTGTTGTTAAGTGGAAACAGCACGACACCCTGGTTCGGGGTTGCAGACTGTTCACAAATCCAAAAGGTAAACGGTCGACCGACGACGAAAGGACAGATAAGACATACCAAAGTGTTGCGGGGCATGTCCGTCTGATTGAACAACGAACCAACGACAGGAATCTTCGACCCAGCGACCTTGTTCAAATCCACTGAAGCATCGACGAATTCGATGTCGGCTTGG